GCCTGCAGGTCGCCATCTCCAATGCCTTTGTTGAGATGAATGGGGACTGCTGGGTGAAGTTTCTCTTTATGTGAGTGTCCAGCTCTTCCTCTCCCTGTTCAGGCCCACTCTGTGTCCCCCTCTCTGCATCTGGACAGGTTTTTTCTCCTCTTCCTCTCCCTCTCCCTTGTGTTTTGGGCAGCTGTCATTTTGCTCCCCCAGATATGATGGATAAAACAGGGTGGGAGGCAGGAACAAGGCACATGAAAAGCGAGCTATTCATGGACCCTCAGGTCTCTCTTCCACCACCTCTACTTGCTCTCTCTTCCCTCTGTTTAAAGGTTACCTCTCCTAGTTTATGTGCCAGTGAAATTTGGTTCCCCTTAATTTAAACACTTTCCCAATCTCCTCTGGATGCACAATACAAGCGGGAGAGTGATCTCGATAGATTCATCCTGAAGCAGATTTGAGGTCTCTTCACCAGGCCTCGGTATTGACAAACATCCTTTTATCATCCTCCTTTTCCCCGCAGCCGGGGGCCCGGATCTTTCAACCTGAAGCTGGAAAATATCTCCATCAAATTCACCCTGAGGCTGGGCAGTGACACCACTGGGAAGCCCACCATCAGCACCTCGAACTGTAGTGCCCGCGCCTCCAAAGTCGGCTTGCGCTTTTCAGGCAAGCTTAAGTATGTGACTCCACTGAAAGGTCTGGAAACACTGTGTGTTAGCCCAGCTGCCACTGGAATGTTGCTCTGCCATTGGAATGAGGCCCTGGTGTGAGGAGTAGCTTGTTGGCAAATCTGAGGTTGCCTGGTCTTAAATCTGGCCTGAATTTCTCCTGCTGTGGCTGCACATTTAAAGGGGGTGGGTGTGGTTTAGCAGTGAGTCTGTTTTCAAATGTAAATCCTGAGGCAAAGCCACATGTCAAATTGGTGTGGGAATGATGTTCCCAGGCTCTTGCTTGAGAATGATGTCCTCTATCATCTCCCTTTCCTGGGCACATACTTCTACAGTATGGATCTGAGCTAGACAGTGCTTCTCTCTGTGCTTCTCTGCAGGTGGTTTTACGACCTGTTCAAAAAGGCTGATAAGTCCCTGTTGCAGAAGAATTTAGAGACCATGGTATGTGAGCAGTAGAACACAGGGCCCTGGGATTCCTGGTTGTCTTTAGTCTTCACTTGTAGGTAATGTCCTCAAAGGATCAAGTATAGGGATACAAATATAGCTGGAGCACACACCAGTGGGATGGGTTAATCCTCTTGGTTGCTCTTTTTTGGCCATGCCCTGGCAGCTCAGCATGGTTCATTCCTGCATGGGCCAGATGAGATTCCTTCCAAGGGTCTCCCCAGAGCTGAACTGTGCTGAGGGGAAATTGTTGCAAGCAGATGCTTGTAGGTATAAACCCTGCTTGTGTCTTGGACACTTAATGCGCTGCCTGATGAATGGAGGCAGCCATCTGTAGCTATGATATTTTATTAAAAATCCTTTCCTAGGATTTTTCCCCTCCTGAGAAGCTGGGAGTCTCAGGAAAGAAATGTAAACAATAACTATCTGCTGCTGTGTAATGCAACAGGTGCATCTTCCATTGATACATGTGGATTGTTTTCAATTGATGACCAATCACACCCACCTCTGCCGAGGCTGTGAGCAGACACAGGATTTTGTTATGCATTCTATTCTATTCCTGCACTTTGTAGCATTCTGATCTTTTTTTTTCTCTCTGTTCTTTTAGTATAGTTTTAATGTAGTATTTTAGTATAATATATAACATAATAAATCAACCTTCTGAGAAAATAGAGTCAATCCTTGTGTCTCCACACACAGAGAGTTCACCTCAACAGTCATCTGTGCTCATTCACTTAAGCAGGCTTTGTCATGGAGCAGGGAGCATGGCTGTGACCCGGCTGCCCCTGCTCAGCTCTGTGGCCTTTCTGTCCCATAGGTGTGTGACAATGTGGCCAAGTCTGTGAAAAACGAGCTCCAGACGTACATCCAGACGCTGCCAGGTACTGGGGGGCTGTAAGTGGGTTTAGAAGCAGCTCTTCCTAGCTTTTCCCATCCATGAGGAACCTTTTACTTTGTATCTGCTCCCCATCTCCGGGAGCATTACCCATGCTGGGAGCTGGGTACCACCGTATCAGCTGAGAGAAATCACTGTGTGTCCTGTCTGGCTGTGGCAATTCCTTCAGAATCTATACCCAAGGGATGGTGAGGACTTAGGTTACATTAAATGGGGATGATGGCCATTCCTCAGGCCCAGGGGATGGCTGTGAAAATGTCAGGGGAAAAGTGGGGGTTTTTGCCTCCTAGCAGAAGCAGGCATGCGGGCAATTGGCAGTGAGCTGATGCACCAGGAAGCCCAATGGAAGTTTACAAAAGGGGGGTGCTCTTCACTGACATCCCAATGACCCAGAAGCAAACCAGAGCACATGTCCCAGTCCATTCTCCCTTCAGGCATGTGGTGGGTGCTGGGCAATGCAGCTGCCAGGGCCCAAAGCAGCCCAGTGCTTTCTCTCTTTCTCCCAGAATTTCCTGCTGCTTGGAGCAGACGTTCGCTTCCAGCCCCGCGGATGAAGATGAGGCAATGAGAGCCCTTCAGCACTAAATATGCTCCATTCACCACTTTGCCATTCCCTGCCTGAGCCGAAGACCACCAGTCCTGCCACTGCCCTGCACTGCTGCCTTGGCCCGGACCCTCCATCCCTCTGCTGGGGCCTCACCTGGTGCTCCCATGAGCTGGGGGTCCCCTGCCCTGGGCCACCCCCTCCCCTCCTCCCCCTGAGCAGCAATAAAGGCGTTGGTGCTGGGGCTGTGCTGTTGGTGTCACTGTCTGCACGTCAGGCCACACAGGGCTAGAGGGGAGCTGGGTTGGGACCACCTGGTTTGGCTGTTTCCATGGCCATGGCGAGGCACCACGGAACAGCTGTGTCCTGCTGTCTTGTGCCTTCACTCCAGCCTTGGGGCAGTTTGGTTGGAAAAACCACAGTGGAAAAGGCCCTGTGGGTGCTGGTCCACAGCAGCTGAACATGAGTACCAGGACGTCAACAAGGTCACGGGCATCCTGGCCTGTATCAGCCATAGTGGGGAAACAGGACCAGGAAAGGGTTTGTGTTGTGTCCAGTTCTGGGTCCCTCACTTCAAGAAGGACATGGAGGTGTTGGAGGATGTCCAGAGAGGAGTGGAGCTGGGGAAGGGGCTGGAGCACCAGGAGAGGCTGAGGGAGCTGAGGGGGCTCAGCCTGGAGAAAAGGAGGCTCAGGGGGGACCTTCTCACCCTCACAACTCCCTGACACGAGGGAGCAGCCAGCTGGGGTTCAGGCTCTGCTCCCAGGGAACAAGGGACAGGATAAGAGGACATGGTCTTCAGCTGCACCAGGGGACTTTACGTGGGACATTGGGAAAAATTCCTTCACAGGAATTCACAGGGTCATTAGACCTTGGAATGGGCAGCCCAGGGAGGTAGTGGAGTGCCCGTCCCTGGAGGTGTTTAAGGGAACACTGGACATGGCGCTCAGTGCCCTGGTTTAGTTGAAATGGTGCTTCTGGGTCACAGGCTGAACTCGATGACCTCGGAGGTCTTTTCCAATGCGGGCCGGGACAGCGGCCGGCGTGGCGCGGCTTCGCGCTGCCCGCGGGGCCCGACCTGCGGCACTTCCTGAGGGCAGCTGCGGCGGGGCAGCCGGGGCCGTCGCCAGAGCTGGCGCCTGAGCCGGGCTCTACCCCCGCGGCCCCAAAAGGTCTGTGGGTCTTCGGGGCCGGAGCTGTTGGGGTCAGCCGAACCCCACTGCTGTGGCCTCCCTGCTGGGTCAAGGCCGGTGCGGACAATGGTGCTTCACAGTCGGAGCAGAGTGGGGAAAATGGCTTGTTTGGTTGCTTTTGGGACCCTGAGGGAGTTTTGACGCTAGAAGGAGTTTAGTTCTTGGCTGCCAAGTCGTGTGTGTTCTTCCACCACGGAGCTGGGCAGAGGGCAGGTTGCTCTGGCGCCTGCCCGCGGTGTGTGCTGGGCTGTCAGTGCGGCTGTGGCAGCCCCTGCGGGGCTGTGGTGCCCTGCGGGGATGGTGTTCATTGCCCTGAGGGTTGTGTCTCGGTGAGGACACAGCTGCTGCTGCTCTGCAGTCACAGCCCAGCCCTGCCGTGTTGCAGAGCAGACAGCTTCCCAGAGCCTGCCCCTCGGTTTATCCTTTGTGGGCTGCAGGTGCAGCCTTTGTGCTGCTTCCCTGACGCCAGTGGTGGTGTTGAGGGCTTGTTCCCGCAGAGCAGGGAATAGGACGGGCTGTGGATGGGAGCTGAGCAGGCTCCTGTGTCACTCGGCCTTTGTTGCAGTGTACCTGGAGACCTACGGCTGCCAGATGAACGTCAGTGACACCGAGATCGTCTGGGCCATCCTGCAGAAGAATGGCTATGCCAGGACAAAGGAGCTGGCTGAGGTAAGGCAGCACCTTGGCAGCTCTCCTGGAGCTCCTTGCAGGCACAGCCCTCACACCCTGGCTGTGCCTGCAAGTCCCAGCTTTTCTCTGGAGTGCAGCCCTGTGGGATGTTACGAGTTTTGCAGTCTGAGTTCTGTGAAGTGAAGGAAACTGCTTAACAAGTGTGCTAGAAAGCTGTGGGTTGTCTTTTTTCTTTAAACTGCTGGGCTCCATCTCAGTTGGAGAGGGATTGGACACAGCAGGATCCTCCTGTCTCATCTTTGGGTTTACTTTTACCATTTAGTGAAGACTCTGCTTGTCTTCTGTTTCTTTCTTGCAACTCCTTTTGTTGAAACCTGCTGTGTACTTAGGTAGGTCTTTTTTCCCTGAGTTAAGTGAGTTTTATAGTCTGCCTCTTCAGGTTACCTAGGCAGGACATGAGAACTTATTGTTTGGTTTTTATAGATTCTTCTCTTTTTGTTGCTTTCGATTTAGGCAGATGTGGTTCTTCTTGTCACCTGTTCCGTGAGGTAAGGAGACATTTATCACTGGTTTGGGACACTTTTTAAGGAAAACCAAGGCAATAAAGTGTTGCATGAGGAAAGGAGTGTGCAGGTGTGAAACTGGCTATTTAGTTGAGGGTAAGGCTGGCTGGTGCTATGATTTGCATTAATTGTGCTATGAATTGCTTCTCTGGGCAGTGAGAAGTTCTTTGGTAGTGTAAGCTCTGTGTATATGCCATGGGCAGTGAGAGACCTGCACAGTTAATTATTTTATTTTAAAATATTTTATCTTCTCTTGAAGTGACTCTCTAGTACAGTGTCTGTACTTTAAAAAAAATGTGAGAAATATGTTTAGGGGCAACTTGATATAAAGGGAACTTTCCTTGTTTTTTTCTGAATGCAGAAGACACCAAATGCTCATTGTCACTTGCAGGGTACCTTGTAATGTGGCCAAGACACTTTTTGTCCCCAAGAGCTTAGTCCCTAAAGTGTTTCTGCAGTGGAGATGCTCTCAGGCAAGCGAAGTGATAGCACATAAGACAGAGCCAAGACATAATCCCCACACCACAAACGGCACTCTCAGGTGCCATTAGATTCCCTGCCTTTAGCTGAATTCTCCTCACGGAGCACTGGGGCTGCTTAGGCTGGGGGTCTGTGCAAGAGCAGCAGCTGGAATACCCCGTTGTGCTGGCTCCGCAGGGAGAAGGCAGAGCAGGCGGTTCTCCTCTCCCTCCCACCTCAGAGGGTGCGGAGGTGGGAGCAGAAAAGCGTTTCAGTGGGAACACTAAATTGGGGAATACCATTCCTAAACCATGACAAATAGTGACTCCACCACTTCCATTAATCCATTCCACTGCTTAACAACCCTTTCTGGGATGAAATTTCTTCTGATATTCCAGCCTGAACCTGCCCTGGTACAGCTTGAAGCCATGTCCTCTTGTCCTGTCACTTGCTACATGAGAGAAGAGACCGATCCCCACCTGGCTACAGCCTCCTTTCAGCGAGTTGCAGAGAACAGTGTGGTCTCCCCTGAGCCTCATTTCCTACAGGCTAAATACCTCCAGATCCCTTGGCCATTCCTCATAAGATTTGACTTGTGTCCTTTACTAAGGGCCACATTCAGGAGTTCATTATAACTCAAAATAAAGAGAAGAATTTGAGTTTGTGAGAAGAAGGGGAAGAATAATTCAAGGACTGTCACAATTCCTTAATTGAAGAGCCAGAGCACTTCACCAAAGATCAGAATAATCTCATCCCTCTCTAATCACAAGAGAGATGTGGCAGAAGTCAATGTTGTAGAAAGCTATTACAAAAAAGGACTTTCCTTCTGTAAAGGTCCTATTATCTGAGTAGGGATGAAAACAATATTACGGCAAAAGAAGAATATGGAATGAGATTCCTGCTGTTATTCAAACAAAAACCAGGGTGTGCAGCCTTCTGGGCAGTGACCTCCACACTGTTTCAGACAAGGATCTTTTAAGGTGTTGCTTTGCACACAGTCCTAATGAAAGCAGAAAGATCCCTAACTGTCCTAGATACCTCACAGGAACCTCCATTCCACAAAAAAAAAAAAAAAAAAAAACCCCAAAAAAAAAAAAAAAAAAAAACCCCAAAAAAAAAAAAAAAAAAAAACCCCAAAAAAAAAAAAAAAAAAAAACCCAAATGAAATAAAAACAAAATACAAACAAACAAAACCAACAAGAACAAACTTGCCAGGAAGGCTAGAACAAAGCAATGTTATCCTTTGCTATGCTCTGCAGTACTTCCCTCTAAAGCATAATACCTGTTTTGAGGAAGATACTCCTTCTATTCCCAGCAACAGGGACAATCATTTTATGTCTATTACATGTTCACATCAGAGCAGTGTTGTGTCCAAGAGCTGTAAGGCGTCTGTCACCACAATAACCACATCACCCTAATTTTGAAACATCAGCTCCCGTTTTCCCAGCTATTCAAAGGCAGTTTGTTTTCCTGGCGATGACCACACGGTGGTGATGTATTACCATCAGTTCAACCTTCAGGCCTGGCTCCCAGGAGCTCAGTACTTTGTTAGAGGAGATGGCAGCTCAGAGCAGTGCTCTTTTACAAGGATGTTTGTAGAGTGAGCCCTCTAAGCCTGCTTTACCTCACAGTTTATGCTCACTATTTAACTCTTTCGTTCATGGGGTTGTGTAGCTTTCCAGCCAAAAATATCCTAGAGTTTTTCTAAGAGCAGATGTATCTCTCAGAAGGTACATCCAAATGCAGCAATAGTTGGAGTTACTCATAGTGAGTTTATTTGTCCATCTGATTCAGCTCCCAACCTGTATCTTTTTTTTTTTGTTTGTTTGTTTGGTTAATTGGTTGGGTTTTTGTTTATTGGTTTGGGAGGTTTGTTTGGTTGGTTGGGTTCGGTTTGAATCTTTTTTTGTTTGTATCCTCCAGTACTCTATCGACTTCCCAGGGGGGAAGAAAAACAAAAACAAAAACAAAAACAAACAAAAAAAAAAACAAAAACAAAAACAAAAAAAAAACCAAAAAAAAAAAAAAACCAAACCAAAACAAAAAAAAAAAAAAAACAAAAACAAAAAAAAAAACAAAAAACAACAAAACAAAACAAAACAAAAAAAAACAAAAAAAAAAAAAAAAACACTTCTGCAAACTCCTTTAAAGTCAGGTAATGATGAAGGCTCATTCTTCCAAATTTCTTCCTAAATGTCTTCCTCAACAAAGTTTTCCAGGCACCTTTCACCAAGGGCAGGTGGTAAATGGAATGTGTACTGCATGTTCACTGTCCTTTCCCCCCTATTCACAATACAGGCCTTAAATTAGCTACAGTATGTCCTTGGCTGAATGCAGACAGTGACAGCCTGATCTAATATGCAGTGAAGTCAATGAGAAGCTTTTGGTTTTTCTTCACTTGGCCCTGAACCAAGTTCAAAGTTGTCTGGTTCTTCTGTGCTTGTACAAGGATGATTATTCTCCAATACAGATGTAGGTTACAAAAAAATCGATTACAACTTTGTGCACAAAAGGAGCTATAAGTAACAAAGACAGCATGTCTCAAATCAACAGAGAGATTAGCTCTAGCTTAATTGGTTTGAAACAAGGGCAGATCGTCAACTGGGACAGGAGAAGTGGTTTGGACTTAATAAAAAATGCATAATTTCCCACTCACAAATTTTACTGCAAACTCATACTGAACTTCTAGAATAAAAATTATTTTAATGATCATTTTGCTTGCATTGTTATGGGTCTTTCTACTTTTATATTTTGTCAAGGAACAGAGAAATATACACCACCACAGAAAGAGGGCTCTTTTTTGCAAAGGGAGTGACTTAATACAGGAAATATAAGAAATTACATAAAATATTGTATTCAATATATATTCTAGACCAAATGCATACAGGTTCTGACAGTTCATACAGGCCACTCTAGTAATATTTTGCCTTCTTGACTGAAAAAATCCTTCTGTGCTTTGAAAGTGTAGTGTGTTTGGTATCACACCCCTCCACTGGTATGGACAAGTCTGAGCATGCCTTCTTAAAATCTTTGGAAATGGACAACATATTAATCCACATTCACCTATTTCAAGTATTTATTAGATACTTGAAATCTCCATGCAGCTGCTGCCCACCCAGGAAGAACTGAAATTCCCTGCCCTTTTTTGCTGCTGAATGTTTGTGGATCCACCCAAGTCCTCACAATAAAACAGAGATGAATATCTCCTTCTTCTGCCCACCCTGACTTTAGACAGCTCCACTGCTATTTCCATAAAACACTGAATTACGCCTCTCTGAAAGGCTGGCATGCAGGACTTTCTGCCTGCAGATGAAACTTAATGTATCACAGCTCTTACTGAGATCTCAGATTCTCTTTTTGCTTTGGATGAGACCTTGAATCATAATCTTAGAACCACAGAATCATAGAATGGTTGGATTGGAAGGAATATTTAATGGTCATCTAGTTCCACATCCCCTGCAATGAGCAGGGACATCATCAACTCAATCACATTCCTCAGAATCCTGTCTATCCTGGACTGGAGTGTTTCCTCACAAGAGTGAAGAGATCAGTGTCTGCCCTAGCACCTAGCACCTCCCTGTGCAATGTTCCACTGTTTCACTACCCTCATTGTATAAAATGCCTTCCTTATATCTAGCCTAAACCTACCCTCTTTCACTTTCAAGCCATTACCCCTTCTTCTCTCACAACAAGCCCTATTAAGAAGTCTGGCTCCATCTTTCATATAAGATACCCTTAAGTACTAAAAGGCTGCTATGTGGAGCCTTCTCTTCTCCAGCCTAGAGAGAGTTGAGCAGTCCTAACTCCCTCAGCCTTTCCTCACAGCCCTCTGATCATCTTCATGGCCCATCTCCAAACTCCCTGCATGTCTTTCTTGCACTGGGGACCCCAGAACTGGATGCAGCACTCCAAATGGGATCTCAAAAGAATAAAGTAGAGGGCCAGGATCACCTCCCTCAACCTGCTGCCCGTGAGGCTTTTGATGCAGCCCAAGACACATTTGTCTTTCTGGGCTACAAAAGCACATTGCTGGCTCATGTCCAGCTTTTCCTTGACCAGTAAATCCAAGTCCTTCTTCGCAGGGCTGCTCTCAATCCCTTCGTCCTCCAGCCTGTATTGTACCAGGGGCTGGTCAGACTCACTTGCAGGACCTTGCACCTGGCCTTGTCAAGCCTCACGAGGTTCACATGGTTCCACTTCCTGAGCTTGTCCAAGTCCTAACTGGCATTCCATCCATCAGGTGTGTAAACTGCACCCCCAGCTTGGTGACCCCTTCAAACTTGCTGAGGGTGCAGTCCATCCCACTGTCTGTGTCACTGATTAAGATATTGAATAACACTGATCCCAATACAAACCCTTGAGGGACACACTGGTCACTGACCTCCATCTGGACATCGAGCCCTTGACCACTGTATCTGGATGTGACTATCCTACCACTTCCTCATCCACCAAACACTGCACCCACCAAATCCCTCTCTCTCCAATTCAGAGAGAAGGATGTCATGAGGCAGTGTCAGAGGCCTTACAGAAGTCCAGAGAGATGCTTTCCTACTGCCCAAAGCAGATCCAAACCCTAACCAATATGGCATTTTGGAGAGTTCTTCACTATTTAAATTGCTCCTCACATAAATTATATAAACATCAAGAAAAGGATTGGAAATATCTCTAGAGCCCAAGGTCAATATTCTTAGCTGAGAAAGCAAAGAAGAAAGTTTTGACCTGTCTTTCCTGAAAATCTATGAGAAATTAAGCAAGTGAGTGATTGTTATGGTTTGGAAAGGAGATATTTCTTTATAATCATGACTGGGTGTCTGATTCAGATCTATCAAGGATCCTAGAAGCTGAAAGCTGCAAAAAAGCTCAATTGTCCCTCAAATTAGACAGAAAATGTAATTTATAAAGTACAATATGGCAGAAATTAGATCAGTTATAAGGGTGACTAAATTTTCTCTCCCTGATTTTTTGAAAACTTCTGGCTTGTTTTGTTTTGTACTTGGAAGGGATTAGGTGTTCTATCCTCTTCATGAAGATACTCTGCCCTCTCAGTGTTCTACACTTGACCCTTCTTTGGTCATAATGTGACCACTGCAATGTTCAGAACATGAAGTTCTTCCAGTGCTTGTACTACATAATCTAATGAAATAAATAGGGGTAT